AGGGAGGACTTGGTTTCCGATGCTGCACAGGCTCTGTTGCAGCTCTCCGATGCCTCTTCCCTGCAGGAAGGACCTGCTGTCACAGCTGGACGGTCGGATCCTGCATCCCAATCCCAGTCGCCTCCGACTCTGGGTCTGGCCACTGCAGGGCCCGGCGTTTCCTTCTCGGAGTATGGCGGGGACATCGGACACACGATGACTAACGCCAGGGCCCCTTCCACGCGTCTGGTGTACGCCCATAAGTGGAAGGCTTTTAGCCGCTGGTGTCAGGAAAGAAGTGAGGACCCTGTACACTGTCCTGTTTCTGTTATTTTAACCTTCCTTCAAGCACTGCTTTCTCAAGGTCGCTCTCCATCCACTCTAAAAGTCTATGTGGCTGCCATCTCTTGCTGGCATTTGGTGGTGAGTGGGGAGACGGTGGGTCGTAACAAGGACGTTTCCTTGTTTTTGAGGGGTGCCCGGCGTTTGCACCCTCCCACACGCCCTGTTGTGCCGGTGTGGGACCTTTCTATTGTCCTCGCTGCCCTGCGCTCTCCTCCCTATGAACCATTGGCGGGGGCAAGCCTTGAGTGTGTGTCGAAGAAGACAGCTTTTCTCCTCGCCATGGCCTCGGCGAAACGGGTGAGTGAACTACATGCACTGTCTGTTCACGAGTCCTGCTGCCGTTGGAACCCGGCTGGTTCGGGTGTTACTCTTTGGCCTAATACGGCGTTTCTTCCTAAAGTGGCTTCACCCGCGAGCCACACTGTGCCCCTCCAGCTTGCTCGCCTTGATACAGATGGGCCTGATGAGCTTCTCTGCCCTGTTCGGGCACTGAGGACATATGTCAGTCTCACAGCTTCTCTCCGACAGGCAGATAATCTGTTTGTCTGCTACGCGGGGCCCCGCAAGGGGCAGGCCCTTTCTAAACAGCGCCTTGCGCGTTGGATTGTGGATGTAGTGGAACAGGCGTACATTCAGCGGGGCCTCCAACCCCCCGCTGGTGTACGGTGCCATTCCACCAGGGGTGTCAGTGTGTCATGGGCCGCTATGACTGGTCTCACTCTGGAGGCTATTTGCTCAGCAGCCTCTTGGTCATCCCCGAATACCTTTGCTAGGTTTTACAGGGTCAACTTGGCCACCCCTCACCCAATGCAGGGGATCCTGTCCCAGCGCACGCCATCTTCCCAGTGAGGTGGGCATGTTTGGGTTGTTGTTTCTGTGTGTGATTCCTCAGGACTCTGTTGGTAATCGTCATCCGTGCTTTAAGCACCGCCTCTGGCGGTCATTAGGGATGAAATAGAACGAAAGTTACGACTGTAACTACGGTTCTATGAATCCCGGATGACCGCCAGAGCGCTCGGTCCCTCGGAATCATTGTGTGTTCGCGAGAAGATTAAGGGACTGAGCTGTCGCTGTCACGTGACTATATAGGCACACCGGTGTCACCGGGGGTCACACGTGACTATGTTGGTATAAGATTCTCGACCTGTGCATGCGCAAGAGTGATCATTCGTGCTTTAAGCACCGCCTCTGGCGGTCATCCGGGATTCATAGAACCGTAGTTACAGTCGTAACTTTCGTTTTCCTCTCCACTGTCGCCGCATGTACGCCTGGTTTGATGGATTGAACATGCTCATCCAGGAGCAGCAAAAACAAAGTCAATTCCTTGATGCTGTCAGTTGGGTTTCCTTAGACAGAAAACTTTTAACCAATCTGTCCGTATGATTTCATTTAATTGTTTTTGTAAAGTATCTTTGGAAGACACGTCATGAATTCAATCAGCACTATAAATAAACTTCATTCAAAGAATTTACACACCAGCTATCGCTTCGAGAACGGGCAGATCTATATGCATCAAAGTCTGACAGCTGTTATACTTTCATCTCAATCTGTGGTTAATGTTTTTAAACACAACCTTTGTTGCAAACACAGCATTTTGATAAAGGACTTAATTTAGCTGCAAAATTACCATATATATTTTTTTATTTAAACATTGTGCACACTTTAACAGTATAGGGTCCCACAGTCTTAAAATTCATATAATTAAGCCTATAGATCTGAAACAGCTACATATGAACATGAACACACACATCATGCATATAGAACCAGACATGTCCTGTTTTGTTTTTTATTGAATGAATCAGTGTTTCCAATTATAGGTTTTGGAATCACTACAAACAAGCCACTGCAAAAGAGTTACAGTAGTATGAAGGCAGTTAGCATCAAGGTTCCTTTTTCCTCATGAATCACATAAGCAGGACAACATTTGACAAAGGTATTAGAGTAAATGTTATTACCTCAGGATGGAACACTTCTTGCATCCATGTGTTTTTTCAGTCTTTAGGAGTCAGCTATACTTCTTCTTTTGACAACTATCACCCACTTAAATATGATGGAACGGTGACCTTTTATCTAAAAGGAGGCAATGGAAGCATTTCCTGATAGCAGAGGTCAGCTGCAGCATCCACCGTACATACATATCTTAGGAAGAGCAAACAGGAGATAAACATTCCAGCCTGTTGCATTGTTCCTTCAAAATTAGGAGATTTCTGCCTGACTGAGCCTCTGTAAGATTTTGTTAAAACAGCCAAATCCTTGCAGGTTTGTTAGATTCCCAGACACCAAAGTTCTGGTGCCAAAGATTCCCTGAATATACAAAGAAAATCCACTTTTCTGCACCAAAGGTTGGAAGAATGGTGAAAAAGTTTCACTCCAAAGGTAGAAATGCATCCTGCAAAGTCCAAAGCAAACATCAGGGGTGTGCAGTGAGACTGGTGAACACAGCTGTGACCACTCAGCTGGTGATTGATCAGAGGCAGGGGGAATACACAAGAGAGAGGGAAACCTATTTTGAGGGCCACAAAAAAAAGGATCAAAATTTGTCTTGATTATGTCAATATAGTTTGAGCATAAAAAAGCCAGAAGGGCAAACCTGAAAATTACTATTTTTTAAATACATTCTTTTTTTATGTTGTCCATTTCTCTCTTTTAAGCAGGGAAATGCTGATTTCTTTAAGTTTGATTTTGCATCTCCTTCTTGCAGAACTTGACTTTCATAAATCATTTTTTTGGCTTGGGTCCTCCTTCCTATTTAAGAAAGGCAAGCTTGTACCACCCTGCAGGAGATCCTGTTCATAATCTTTCACTGCATCTGTTCCTGCTGGATCACATCCCACACTGACACCCCCCCTGCACTAACACAAGAGCTTCCATGAACTCAACCTTTAGAAATACATAACCTTGATTTACCCCAAAACGCCTTGGGAATCAAATGCCGTCATGGAGTGACGCTTTAAGAATATAATTCACTTCTGTCCCAATTAATTCATCAGTTTCTCCCCACTCTAAATGGAAATAGGTCAAAGACACTTCTACAAGCCAAGATAGCCCCCGCTATGATTAAAGCCCCCTGCATTATATAGGTTATCCAGCTCTGATTCATCCGCAAACACCATATTCTGCTTACTGCTTCATTGTTTATTAAACGCTTTCTCCTTGGCGAAGTCACAGAAGGTTTTCTAATGAGGCTTAGTGGCCCCAGTAAATCTGATGTGCAGTATATGTAATTCACATCTGCTTCTGAATCTGTCGGAAAACGTCCAAAAAAGCTCAGAAACAGAAGTTCTTACAACTGCTCCTTCTGGTTGATGCTTCTTTCCTTCTTTATTCCCAAGTTTCCCCTTCTTGTCAGTATAGAACTGCAAATATCAATGGATTTTATTTAAGCTTTAATGTAGTAGATCCAATTTACATTTACCCTGATAAAGCTTTCTGGCAGAATTGTTTTAATCTTCTTGGAAATTAAAGCTCTACATTTGTATCCATTTGTCAAAACAGCCCAGTCAAAGGCCAGACCTAAGCCTAATTACTGTAAGAATATGTGGGAATACTTTAAAACTGATATTGCAAGTTATTTGCTATTTTTTTGTGATATTAAACATAAAAATCCCTATGTGACAAAATGTAAAAATTAAAAGTTTAAGAGATTTGTGATGCACTGGATGTAGAAAGAAAAATAAAATCTGATCAGAGGAAATGAACTAGACTCCAGTCTCATTTACACTTAGTATCACTGAGGGTTATTAGTGCCATGAGGGGTGAAAGAGTTGACATTTGTGTCTTTACGCTCATGAAGCCCACCTGATCTTATATGCTAATGATCTCGGCTCCGACTTCTTCGCCCTCAGGAGAGCTCTTATGATGCTTCTCAAATTCTGGAGGGGAGGGAAGAAAAACTGATTTAATCTCTCATGTGGCTGCCTCCAAGAAGAAGAAGAGAGAAGAGGAGGAGGATGAGGAGGAGGGTTCCCCTGCTGTGATGTTTAGAGGCTCACAGATGAAGAGGTCTGAACCCTAAAAAGCTTTCAGCGAGCTCATGGCTCTCTTTAATTTACACCCACAGCTGCCTGTTGGGGTTCATCCCTCAACTTCTACCTCCAGCTCCCATCAACTTTGCTCTTATTTCTGCAATCCTGTGTCACAGTCGCCTCCTCCTCCCAATCTTCTCCCTTACTGCATGCAGGCCCCTTTCATCACTGCTTGGGTGGGGTGATCTTTGCAAAAAGTGTAGTTTTTCTCTCCCCTCCTCAGTTATGCTCCGAGAGTTGTGGTCAGTCCCTTTGGAGCTGTTTGCTCTTAAACCTCTGAGCCAAAAGAGGCGCTTACTGCTCTTTACCTCCCTCCTGAGACCCAAACAGGTCTTTAGTTCAGTTTGTGAGACAGGTGCATATTTGCAAAGCATGCATTAGAATAAAAAAAAAAACACATTCAATGCTGCACCCCAGTTCAGTTGCCATTAATTCCAGAGATGGAGTCGTGCGTCTTGGAGATAAAAACGCACATAGAGAGAGTTAGAGATCAAAGTCTGGGCGCGTGCGCTGATTATGCAGCTCCAATAAGCTCAATTCTGGGGTTCAGGTTGCATTTTAATCAGAACTGTATTGAGAGACACATGCAGTTTATATCAATTTATGTATTTTTCAATAGTATGCACTAAGTTCAGGAATATATATACTCACCCAACAACCAGTACTGCGCAGGGCAAGAGAAAATGTGGAATTAAGCACCCATCACTGAAGGAATGCGAGGACACCCACTATGGGAGTATTAGAGGTAAGAAAATCAGGTTCCACCCACGATGTGGAAAAGGGGAAGCATCCCTCTGGGGTCCCCGACCGCCTTAGGCAACTTCCTTGCGCAGCTCAGCAGTTTCACACCTCAAAAAATATAGATTTCAGTCCCCATCCAATAAAAAAACAAAAACACTGATTGCAAGACAATAGAAAAAAAGATCCGCAAAGAGCAGCTGAGTCGTGACGCAAACTGGAACTATTAACTTGTTTAAAGGAGACAATGGAGATGGAAGCTGTCTGCAGAAGCCGATGGCCAAGAATGAATCTGAGATACAGAGAGAAAGGAGAGAGAGAGAGAGGAGGAGATGGAGAGAGAGAGGGGTGGATGAGGAGGAGGAGGAGGGGAGACAGAGCAGAGGAATTTATGATACGCGGCGCTGATCAATATTGCTGGTAAAACCCACCTGATTAGGGTGATCCGTGAGCTCCCACGCACGCTTTGCGCATGGATGCCTCTCCTTTAAAGTCTGCTTGTGTTGTTTGGTGCACACAAACCCCCCCCAGATCCCGCGCGCTGGCGCACGACGCACCAAATCAACGCCTAATTGCACCACTGTCCTCCTCCAGAGACCCTCCTCTACATTCAATTAAGTTTATTACTGATCAATTGGATGCATGTCTTTTATTTTTTATGAGGGGAGTATTTCAACACATTAATAAGTCTTGGAAATGTTCGCGCGCGCTTAATTGAAGGAACTTCCCAATTCATATTTTTTTTCACTGATTGATTATCTCCTCCTTCATCCCAGCCTGAAAAACTGTGCGCCTTGACTCTTGCTGTAAATGGAATTAAACAAATGAACCGCGTCCTATCTGCGATATAATAACAATTTGATAAGCTATGTGTGGAGGCAATCGGAACAAGACTGGGATGTTCCCTCTGCCTGACAGTGTCGGGGGAAATGGGAGCAACACGTTCAATTTGTGGATGCTGCCGCGTCAGAAGTCAGAAGAGGGCGCGCAGGCACGGGACGGTGGCACCATCTAGTGGTCAGTAAATGTAACTACATTGTCGTGAATTTGTTTGTTAGGTGCCAAAATTGATATATTTATTTAAAAAATAACTAAATAAATATTCAAATCGCTTCATAATGATTAACAAGAAAATTAAAAAATTATAATTTATTCCATTGCTTCAGTCAAAAGTGATACATGGATTCAAATATTTATATCTGTTAATTCTCCTTATTAAGGCTTTCAGCTAATAAACCCCCTAAACCTGTTTGAATGTCAAATAGGACAAACAAAATCAAATTCTTATACAGTAAAGTTATTTTGTTTTTTATGGTGTATGCTCACAGTGAACATTATGGACTAGAAAGTCATGCACTGACACTCACCAGAAGAGGTTAAAGGTCACTTGAAGCCTGCTGTTTAAAAAACATAAGGGAAAGTTGTGTGGGAGGAACAAGATTTTTCATACACAGTGATTGCACACAAGGAATCAATATATTGTATGATATTCTGCTTTAATGTGTTGCATCTGTGAACATTTATTTTACAATTGCCCATATCAAACTAAAAAAATATATTTTTTAAGGTTACAATTTACTTTAACAGCTAAAAACTGTTTTGATGTTTTTTTAACATAGGCTATACAGCAGTGTTTGTCGCTTTGGGAGTGTTGGCTTAGTGGTTAGAGCAGTGCGCTTGTGCACAGAGCAAGACCCTTAACCCCACACTGGGTGCCACACAATGGCGGCCCACTGCTCCCCAAAAGGATGGTTCACATGCAGAGTTAATTTCCCCATTGTCTTTTACCCATTTTAAATTGCGTTTGTTTAAACTATTGCTTGATCTTTGAGAAACATCATAAAACTGTGCTGGAATTCATGTAGAACCCATCTTCAATAGCTACACCTGTTCTGATGGTGAGCCTGTAGAGCAGTTTTATAGTAGAGTAGTATAACCAAGCTGTGTTCATGTTAGGAGGCAGTTTGTTTGGTGTCTGTCAGAGTGTGCGTCCCTAAGATTGGTGAGTTGCAGATATATGTTTAATGAGGATAATTTGACAATGTTACTGCTCTGGACATCCTATGTTTATATATTCTATCTAAAGAGAGATATGGCTAATCTAAGATAAATTGGTTTCCATTCAAGTTATACAAGTGAGACCACAGTAGAACACAAACCTGGCGTAATAACATGTTTGTTTTCTTTAGTGCTACATCCTGCTGTAATTTATATTTGTGTTTACATTGGATTTTAATTTGGGTTCTGTTTCTTCATTGTTTGAGATCTACCTGTGTGAAGCTATATCTGCTGATTAAAAGCCTAGAAACAAAAAAGTGCCAGGACATTTGCTGGAGAGCCACATTTCCATCTGACCCATGGACACTTTGGGATCATCATCAAAGGGAATCGAACTTAGGCAACATTCAGAAGAGCAGCAGTAAACTGCAGGCATGCTTGGTCATTTGAACGAATAGCAGGAGAGAACAGTTTCATTTGCTCTGAAAAATACATAGAGAGAAGTAACAGCTCTCAGCTGCAGCTGTAAATTTGTTTCTAGCAGTGGTTTTTAGAGTTAGGGTACGGTTTAATGACATTTATGGTACACAATATCCACAGTGAAATTTAATTTAAAGGGGGATATCAAATGTCAGCGACTACATTTTATGGAAAATTAAATCAAGCATGTTGGTATTGAATTAGTAATGTGTTTGGAACCTACTGCTGCAATGAAACAAGGATATATTAGTTTGTAAAGGTGTTTTTTTAATAACGTATAAATCTTAACTCTTTTTTGGGTGTTTTTAAAACCGAGGACCGAATTAAGACAAAGTTGCCTTCATAATGGGATATTACATTTATCTTATTTAAACTGGGTGCATTTAAAAGGTTTTAGAATGCAATGTAGAAATATTTTAAAAAATTTGAAATAAAGTATTTCTATATTTTTATATGCATTTAAAAGGTTATATATAGGTTTGTTTTATTAGTATAAAAACAAACATATATATGCTGTGTGTCAGTAACTCCCATTTAATTGAGTAACTGATTATGCCAGTATAATTAATTAGCAGTCATTAAATCTCCCTTGAGGATTTCTGGGTTAGACCCAATTTTTTAGGAACTACTGCTTTAGATGAAGTTCCTGTCATAATGAATATTACTCTTAATTTTTAGATTTAGTTCAAAGGAAAATTCAACTAGTTTGCCAAAGCAGCAGGAAGCTTTAGTTCCTGGGACCACTTTGAGCCGACATGCAGAGTAATACGGGGCCTACTGTAATTTGACCAAATTAACACAGAATTACAACAATTTAAACAAACAAACAGATTATGTCAGTGTTGGGGGAATCTGTTTTGTGCAATTTATACTTTCCTCTTTTATAAATAATTTATCAAATATTCTCCTGATTTATAACACTGCCAAATAGCTGGCCAATGGTTATACTTTATTGATGGGTTCACTTCTAGTTACTGTCGGCCCATTGACTATTAAAGCACAAGACAGGTATAAACATTCCTATATAGACATCACTATTCAACTATAATAACCATAACTTCATAACCCTTTTTTAACAGATGAGTCTTATAATATAATCATCCAATTTATTTTATATTTAGCATTTTAATAAAAACCCTTTTTATTGGTCTTGTGTCATATTCTGAGAAGCTCCATAACGGGATATCATTAGCTGCAAGCTATAACCATCAAAATTCACTAAATTGAACACTTAAAAAATTTAAATGTGTATAATAAATTTCTGTGATAAGAAAAGGATATTTTGGATTAAATTCTTAACATAAAATAACCTTTTAAACATATCTTGATTTACTAAATTGCAGAAGAATTTGAAAACCCATTTTAAAAACTCAATTTATCTTGCAACCTCCAGGCCAGCAGGGGGCCCTAATTAGCTGCAAGGTTCCAGAAATCTTATTTAGCTTCTGGAAAAACTTTAAGCAAACATGACTCACACAGGAAAGAAATGAAATTCAAAGGCATCAACTCAGAGGCTTGAAATAGTATGTTTTTATTTATTAAACAGTGGCTTTTAACATTCTGGTCACATGTGAAAAACGTTTCTAATTCTGGGGGCGGGGAGGCTTAATAACATATGAACACATATGATGTATGAGACCTCATGGTAAAGAACTTATGTGAACTAAAACCCTCTAGGATTTTAACGGACCAAAAAAATAAAACAGTTAAATAAAAACCAAACTAATAACTGAGGAACTGGGATCTGTTATGGTATTATTTATACCATCCAAACAGCTTAAGTTGATAGACAGTATGATTGCTACAGAAGCCTTTGTTATAAAAATAAAGCTTGATCTTTCTTATTCTCTACTTTTTGTTCTTTTTCATGGCTTACAGTTCGAACATTAAGACATAACTACATTTGGTCTTCCTCGTTTCCTCCCCAGCTCTCCTCTTGGTCTTCTTCATTCCCTCCAAACGCCTCCCAGTGTTTCAAAGACTACCTTCAGGAGCCGCTACCGATTAAGCATATTATTCTTAGTAAATGATGCACAAACTATTAAAAATAAATGAATTACATTGTTAGGTATTTAAAAACTAAGATCAAACAGTTAATGTAAATATGCTCCAGTGTAGAAATGTCTTTAAATCTTTCAGTCAGGAGACATGGTCCTTTCAATAGCTCACCCAGAGCAGCATTTAGGCACTGAGGATGGAAAGTAACACAACAGTGTGGGATTATAGGGCTATGAAAGGATGTAACATACAGATGAAGGTAGTCAGAAAGTAAATTCTTCCAGTTATTAAGTTAAAGAGTAACAGTAGTACAACTGTGACCTGTTACGTATTGAATTGTAAATCTTCTACTCACTGTAACTGTGTCTATCATGTACTATTTAAGGTTTCTATCCATTGGAGGAAATTGTAAACTCATCCTATGGACAGGTTTTAAGAGTCAAATCAATCACAAAAAAGGTTTCAGAATGAAAAAAAAAAAAACAGTAATTGGTTTGTTGTTGGGTTTTTTTTGTTGTTGTTGTTTTAGAGGAAATTGAACAAAGATTGAGCAGCAATCTTTGACTCCAAGCAAAATCAAATCCTAGACGAGTTAATCGCGGGTAGATTCACTTTTAAAAAGCAGCAGAGAACTGTAGTTAGATCTTTGGAAAAATAACTCTCCGCCAAAACCTTCCTAACTTTAAATAAGTTCAAAAGAACAGCTCAGATAAGGAAAATCCATGTTTCTTTTCACAAAATCAATTTCATAAACTATATTTCGGATGTGATCCGACTTGGCCAACATTGCCAGTTTCTAAACTCTTATTCCTGCTTGTTCCTTTGCACAGACTACCTTCATCCGCTGCTTAAATGCAGGATAATATAAGCAAAGCAGTAAATATCCATGGTCTGCATATAGCTCTATATTTACATGAGTAAATACAGGTAGGTGTATGTACAGCAGATGGGGGTTTTGTGTAGATAGCACCAGGCTGTCTGGTTTCTTAATCAACTACACATTTATGTTAGTTTACATCATGGTTTTTGGTTCTTATATGACTATGCTTTTCTGTAAGGCTGTTTAGTTTCTTCCTTCATGTTTCCGAGTCTTCCTTGTTTTTCTTCAAGTGGTCTCATTTGTTCCAGTTTAGAGTTTTGCTGTTTAATGGTTTGTGGCTCTCTGTCCTTCATTTGTGGCAATTTGTAAGTCTGAAAAACAAAAAAGAGAGAAGGAAATAAGAGAAATATCTGTGCAAACTGAACAGATTTTTAGGAAGTTTTACCCCTTAAACCTTTTCATATTGTGTCGCATATTAAGCACAACCTTTAAAGTATTTTAATAGTATTTCTTTGTTATCGACCCACACATATATATATGAAAATAATAAACAGTAAAAAATGAATCTGAAGCCAGGCTTATATTTTTACTAAGCTCCTCCATCATATTTACAGCTGCAAGTCTTTGAGGCTCTAGAAAGTCTGAAAGATTTGCAAATTATTGTTGGATAGGCCAAGGTTAGTCAGATAAGATCTAGAACGTTTGAACAGAAATGTCTAGTCTTGTCACAGATTTCTAGCTAACTTTAAACTTTGACATGAACTTTAAGAATTAATATCCATTGGTCTAAACCAGCCCTGCCGCTGGAAGGTGAAATGTCAATACTGTTAGTATAACCTAAACTGGGCTGGACGATAATTCAATAACAATATATATCGATTGATCGCAGAAGGTCTATAAAAGTTTTATCATGTAGGTTGTTCCTACAGTCATCGCTTCCCACCAACCAATGGCAACCACTGACCCAGGCACGAAGTCACAAAGCGCCCCCTCTCAAACCACAACACGGAGCACATGCTGATGTCGCAGCAGGAGAAGCGGATGAAATTGTACCAAAAAAGGGTTTTAGTAGTTCGCCAGCTTGGCAATATTTCGGTTATAGCAAGCCAGACAGAAACCAAACCACAGTTATTTGTAAAATTTGCAGGGAAGTGGTAAAAACGACTGCTAACAAAACCAACTTGTTTTATCATCTAAGCCGTTCACACCCGATGGAGAACGAGCTGTGCCGGCCCCAGCGTGGTTCCACGTTATCGGGGGAATCTTCAGGAACTTCTTCCAACACAAAGCAGGCTAAACAGGGCTTCCATCTTTGTGATAAATATAAAAACAATTGTCCAAGTGGTACCTTACTCATGCAGTAACATGCTTCATAGTGATATGATGCTGACATTGCTGACATTGTCTGCAATTGAAAACCTGGCTTCAGAACGCTGCTCGCCACTCTTGATCCGTGATACGAAGTTCTGGGCTGCAAGTTTTTCTCTCACTCAGCACTCGGTAATTTGTATAAAGAGTGCAGTGGAATCAGTGCAGAAGGATGCAATCTGTGTCTTACTTCGCCACAACATCGGACCTCTGGTTAAGTCACACATCCGAGCCCTACCTCAGCCTCTCAATTTACAACAGAGAATGGAACCTGAGAAGTAAGTGTCTAAATCTTTAAGATAATTATCAATCAATATTCCTTTTTAAGTTCGATATGCTTATTTTCTACATCTTCCAGCCCTTAACTTAACTCTCATTTAAACCTCTCTAAAACCTTATCTGATTGGTTCTAACTCCTCTGAGAATTCACAGAACTGCTGCATTCATACAATACTTAAATCAGACACAGGTAAATCTTTTTTTTAATTGTTACTATTTTGAAGGAAACTGGTTGCACACATTTTTCAGGGGGTATCAGAATTAATACTTTAGACATATGCACCACATTCAACTGCTGTTTTCCATAAAGTCTAAACAAATAAACTAACCTTAAATTATAATCTGAAAACATAAGAAAAAAATATAACCTTGATTTCAAAAATTCAAAACCAGAACAAAAATATTTTGAGCAAGCAGATATGAATACACAGGTTAAAATATAGAAGGAAACAGCTGTTCAGAGTGCTGAGTAGTGGTTTCTCTAACTCTACCTAAGGAATTGATCCTCTGCTTGGACAGAAACAACCCCTAGTTTTACAAACACAAAAGCATAAAACTTGTGGTAAGCAACCTCCTAACAGGCAGACTTTGCTGAGGTATACGACATTTCAGCCTGACTTGGTGGATTCTGACTGCACCTGATCAGTGAGGCAGGGGGAAGAAACCACAACTAATCCAGAGAAATGGACATAAAGAAGAAGAATCTTCAGAAAGGTAAGCACTGTATTCTTACACTGTGTTTCACCAAACCAGAGATTTGGAGCGGGTGCTGACGCCTTTCCTCCTGCTGGCTGCTCCCACTGATGCGTTTCGATGGCTCCGCTTGTGCGACTCCAAGTACAACTAGATTTAAAAATGAGGAAAAAATTGATTAACAAAGTATTCATTCTGATACTGTGAGACACGGAACAGTTCAAGATCAGCTTATTTTCCATCATTTCTTGACATTTTAACCAGTAACCACTACAAAATAATGTAGTTCTATAAACTGGCAGAAGTTGGATTAAACCACTGTGATTCTCACAGGAAGGACTGCGAACCAAGTAAGCTAGCCTCTTTATTCTCAGTTGCAAGCAGGGAAATCAAACGCAACATAAGTGGCCGTACATCTGTAAAGCATCAAACTTGACCAGAGCACAGCTTAGTGAAATGTTCTCAACTTATGGAACCAAATATAACAAAGTAATGCTGGACTTTTACTCTGCAAGTCTCCAATTTAGGGGTAGGGGTCTCAGTTATTAAGCTGTGTTGGATTTATACTAAATGAGTGCATATAGACATGTTGAATGTAATTGTTTACTTCCGGAAGTTTTGCGAATGCGCACAACACTAGAGGGCAAAAAAATGCGTTTTACTAGCCGAACAGTCGCGCTGCTATATTTCTGTTAACAATATGAAACCAGGGGATGTCAGTATTACTAATTAAGATCATCTTTCTGCAGAGAAACACAAAAGGTACACAGCAAAGGTAACTGTATTTAGCATAAATCCTCCAGACCGGTTTGAAATGGATGACGATCTGATGATTTAAAGCCCCTGGAACTCTCTATCACCCTTACTCAGAAACACGGACTCGCTTCTCCATTTAAAATCATAACTCAAAAACTCATCTGTTTAAAATTGCCCATTCTCTTTAATATGAATTTCCCTGTCCCAGCCTTTCTATTTTTTAATGGTTTTATTCTGTGTTTTGACTTTGTTTCTGTCATTCTGTTTTTATCTTTTGTACGGTGACCTTGAGTGTCCAGAAAGGCACATTTGAAATAAAATGTATTATTAGTCCTCAAAATTGGCCGCTTTTTCAATATGGGGATAATTATCTCATTAACACACCAGGACTTTATACAGCAGAGGCAATGAAGGCATACAAGTCATTAGAAGGATGTGAATTCTTTGTGTCTGGACATGTGATCCAAATATTTTATCACAACGATGAACACAGTGTGCTTCTAGAAGTGTCACAGAAGATTTTTTTATATTTCTATTTTTAAAAAAACAAAGCGGCGTGTGTATGACGTCATCTGTGTGCGCCGGCTACCGTTCATTCTTCCTGTCCGCTGAACTGCTGCTAGTTTTACTTACATGCCTGGAAGATGTCTAGTGCTACTACCACAGATGATCTCACTTTAGAAATGGAATTGAACGACTCAGATTAGCTAGCCGAATGAATAGAAGCGGTAGAGCGTAAAAAAAACTCCCGCCCAGGGCGCGGATGACGGCATACACGCGCCGCTTTGTTTTTAAAAGATATAACTATAAAAAATATAACCGCGGATGTCTGGGGGACAGTGATTCGCCTACATGTTATGAATGCTGGCGTATCATAAAGAATAATATAGGAACTGTTTACTTTGTGCCTTCAAGTCGTTTGCTCATAGGAAGACGTTACCTGGATATAGCCTAACGGAATATCTTCAGAATAGCTCCTAATGACACAAAACTCATATGGGTGAGTAGAACATGATGTAATAACGTAAAATCAAGGGCCACATGTAAAAAAAAAACTGATTTCTCCTTTAAACGTGATGCTGTTCTCTGCAGTTCCATCTTAAGTTAACATTTTGTTAAACTTAAATGTCTCTCCGCCTCGAAAACTGGGTCGTGTTGTTGTGAGCCTGACACCAACGAGTGTAATACCCTCATTATTTACTACTATAAAAAGTCTTTAGCATAGTCATTATCGATAGAGTGTAACTAGGCAGGTGTATTTAAATGATAATTGAATGTTTACAGTAATCCGTAAACATTCAGTTGATTCGATTGAGATGCCACTCCCCTGGGATCAACAGAGAGGGGAAGGTCAGGCGAGGATGTCAGCTGTCTTATGAACTTTTTTTACTTGTGTGAAAGGTTAGCTCAGCAGTCCAAGCATAGTTTTGAGGTTTTCAGATTCTATGAAGACATTCTACAGTTTAAGTTTCTCAAAAAGGGAAATTCATTGTGAGATGAATCATGATACAATCTGTCCTCAGCTCCCCGATGTCACCATCTGTGTCTCCAAAGTGAGTCTGATGGGTCAGAGTTGGCGTACGGGGCCACACATTATAAAACCAAAACAGTTTATAAAAATCGCTTGTGTGGAAGTCTACATACAAAAGTTTCAGGCTCTGTTTTCTGCATACATAAGCTCAATAAATTGGACCCCCGATCCTTATAGATGGGAAGTTTTACTAGAAGTTTCTCAGAAATCGTTGTTCTTCCGCTCGCCAAAAGGGCTGAGTTGAGTTGCTAATGGGGTTAAAAATGGATCAGTTTCCAGATCATGTCCAGAAACGTTTAGCATTTTAATCCCTGATCTTCTTTATTATCACTGTTGCCTTCTGCCTCGATGCTCCGTCATGCTGAAAAACGTATTGCTCATTACAGTGTTGCTTCTAGTTTGTTGGACAAATTGGCCCCTGTAGGTTTTCTGATCCCTTTCATTATTTAGGGGGGGAATTTAAGGCGCACTGTGATAGAGCACACACTGACAAAAAAAAAAAAACACCAACAAATTGGAGGTATTACTTTACCTCAATCCTCTTATTAAATCTCAGGACTTCCTGCAGAGCAGTTCTCTATCTTAATGTTTTATTTAGGATAAACTGCCATCTCTGATGCCCCCGTTCGTGCTACAAGTATCCCTCTGTGTATCCCATCTAACTGCTGCCAATCCAGAGCAAGCTTTGCCCTGGTGGAACCCAGCAGAGATAGTCTTGGCACTTGCTGGGCTTTCTGGCTAATGCAAAACTTGCCTCCAACTCTCAAAACTCCTTTCTAAGTCCTTAAATGGTCAACAAATGTCTTGATTGGATGCAGCAAAACCTGTAACTTGTTAAGCCTTTTTAGAGCAGAGAACAATGACGCCAGGCACGCCTCCCCTATTGTAGTAACTTTTCTGCTGCCCTAATTGAATTAGAAAGACAGAATGATGTCAGATGCTACCCTGAATATATTCAAATTTTTTTGTCTTGTCCCTTTTCTGCAGTAATGAAACAGTTTCGTTACATTTAATCACCATATTTTTTACAATAACAAAGCAAAGATCTTATCCATGTAAATTTCTGTCATCTCCTCTTTTAAAAAGTTTCTCATTCATTAAAATCCCTACCTTCTTAGCAAAGGCCCGCCCACACTGGTCGCAAGCATGAAGAGAGAAATTCTTTGTCACTCTAACTTCAGTTGAGGACGTGACAAAGCTGCTCTCTGACTGGACGTCGTGTCGTCGGGTGTGTGGGGCTTGGTTGCTGGATGGGGTTGAGGTATTACGTGAGTGTGAGTGTTTCTCACTGCGCCGGGTCAGAGGGGGGCTGAGGGGGCGGGGCTGCTGGACCGTCTGTTGTCTGTCCTGCTTGCGAGTGACTGGTGGGGAAGGAGTGAATACCGAGGATAAAAGCTCCTGCTGCTTCCTGGTGACGGGGATGGGAGGCGGGGCGGAGGTGGAGGCAGAGGTGGCAGTTGATACAGCTGTGGAAGCTTCTTGTTTCCGGGTGATCGGAGGTGATGGTGAGGAGGATGAGGACGACGAAGATGATGACGAACCGTGACGTCCGTTCATCTCCTCTTTCCCGCTGCCTGTCCTCTTGTTTGTGCTGTTCAGGACCGCCTCCGCCAGCCGCTTCACGGCTCTGCTCTCCAGTTTGGGCATGATCTTCGCCAGGTACGCAGACGACTTCTTGTGGACAACCGTCACGTGACGCAGGACGTCACGTTTGCGGCGTGACTCGTAGCGACATAGAGGGCAGCGGTAGAACTTAATAAAGATGTCATTGCCGTCTGTGTGCAGTTCGATGTGCTTTGTTAAATTCTGACGCGAGCTGAACTGTCTTTTGCACAGTTTACAAAAGAGCTGCTTAAAGTCAAAACCCACCGAGAGTTTGTTTATTTTAGCAGCCATGTTCGTGCTGCACACATTGCCCCCGCGGGACGAGGGTGAAGACAGAGATGGGGGTATCTTGGGGCTGGAAGGGGCTTCCTCGTCCTTTAATTTTAGAGAAGTTTGTTGAACGCCTTTAGCTGTCCCGTTGTTGTCAGCAGGAGATGGAGCAGGGCTGCTGTCGACGTCATCGTCTTCATCAGAGGGCTCCACTGCTTCCTGCTTCACTTTAACGTTGTTGCTGACATTTGTGTTAGTGCTGCTGTTAGGAGTGGTTGCAGCAGAAACAGACGATGCAGGAGTACCAGTAGACTTCCCTTTGACACTGTAGATCTTGTGAACTATGCGCATGTGTCTCTTCAACATAAGCTGGAAACATATAAAGAACCAACAATCAGAAAATCTCTTTAGAAAGAACATTAATATTCATAGCGCTTTGACTTTTAATAATTGATGCATTTCATGCAATGTCACATCTCATAACCACACAGATTAGCACATCGGTATGAAGTAGAAAGTAAATTATTTCAAAATGTATCTTTATATCAAAATCTATTTTTCAAAAAATGCAAAGAGTTAATTTAGAACACCCCATCCCAAACTGATCCACGGCTGAGGAAGCATGATGCTGCGGCGATGCACCTCAACAGAGAAGCTGGAAAAATATGTGCTTGGGGTAACAAAAGACTTGAGAGTGGGGTTGACTTTCAACTATCAATTTATTCAATTGCTGAACTATCAGACATAAACTGAATTAAAGAGTTGAAAACTGATTTAAACAGTTGTGTTTCATCCAGTCTCATTGAGACGAGACATGTTGCATCAAAGAATAAGAAACAGATACAAGACTTTTTAGTTTGTTACAAATTCTGAAAACAATGGATTAAATATCCTACTTAATGTAATTATATTGCATTTTTTCCAATAAAATATGTGTATTGAGGTTGCAAAATAAGAAAAAAATAGATTCTATTAATATTGAAAGGAACTGTCAACACTTTCATAACAAAGTTCCAATTGATAGGCAGAGAAACCTAGTCTTTTGACTCAGGTATTGGTTAAACTGACCTGTGAGCTGTAGTTCCTCTTGCATTGGGTGCATCGACATGAGGCCGAGTTCACCTGCGAGGCGGCCTGGGTCTGACTCTGAGGTTTTCCTTGGGTTTGATTTGAGGTGGTGCTTTTAGAGTTCACTTGGGTGGGCTTGGAGCTGTGGCCACGTGTCGGGGAGGAATTGTTGCTCTTCCTAGGAGGAGTGACTTCCAGTGAGAAGGGCTGGCCTGGCCTCGAGGCGATGCTAGGTGTGATGTTGTCCCTCCGTAGACCCCGGTGCACCTCATCAAAGTGCCTCCGAACGTTGGCCTTGGTGGCAAAGCTTTTCAGGCACACTGGGCAGGATTTTCCAGTCGGTGTGCTCAGAGTCCTTGGTCGGCCTTTAACAGCAGGAAATGTATATCTATTAAACAGCTAATTTACTTTCTGGAACAATAAATGGCACATAGATTTCTTCAAAAGATAAAAGGTAAGATAAAATGTTGCTCTCTGTTTAAAAAAACAACCCATATCCTCAGTTGGATTTTACAGTGTATATTCTTACCTTTTACCATGGAGAGCAGGCTTGTAGGAACTGTGCGTGTCTCAGTGAACTTCCGCAGCTCCTCGAGTTTAGTCTGGTGCATTTTGCGGCAGTGACGCCTGATACTCCGACGGGAATTAAAGTCTTGGCCACAGAGACAACAGGAAATGGTCACATCTTCCACCTGCAGGGTTGTGAAAAAATAATGTTTTGTACCAAAAACAAACAGACTTGACAGAAAACAACTATAGAGAGAATCACTAAACCAACTTCATAACCTACCCCACTATTGGAGCCATCGTCTTCAGGCTTCGGCTGCTCCTCTTTAGCCTCTTCCTCAGCATCCCATTTCTTCGGCCCTGGGCTGTTGTGGCTGTCGCCTCCACTCGGTTGCCCGATCGGATTGTTTTCCGAAACCTCTGTTGTTTCTCCTTCCCAACCTACAGGACTCTCTCTGGCACTGTGATGAACAACAACACATGTTTACAAAAAAAACAAAAGCAAAACAAAATCACTAAGTTAATTTATTCTGCGGGTAAATATAGAGTATCTGGCTTAACCACAACTATAACTGCAGGTTTCTTATTCTAACAGGACTTGCCTGGTTGTGTGTGATGGGTATCTTGCAAGCTCCTCCTCTGTGGTGAGGTACTGGAAAACCGCCTTGTTGGTGGTCTGAATGGGCTCAAGACGGACCACATATTCCGGTCTGTCAACTCTGGGATATATAGCATCCAGTAAATCTTTCATGGCTACACTCTGTCTGTCGTCACCAGGAGAGCCTGTTGGAGAAAATCCTCCATTAGACCAAAATGGGAACAGCTATAACTAATAGGTTTGTTAGATGCTGATGCATAACATAACATGTTAAATAAGAATGTCAACAATATGATTTTCAAAGTTAATGTCGTTGGTGGATTGTCCTGTTTTAACAACTTTATTAATAATGTCCACATCCAATCACAGAGTGAAGAAGAAAGTCTCTCCCCAGCTTTGAATAAGAGGGGATATTGCATACTTCTTATAAAGCAAGCTTATTTTCCAAAAAAAAGTAAGGAAAACATCTGATGCAAATTCACTGGTTCATATTGGTTTCCTCCTCTGAATTTGGATTGCTTTGATTTTCTTTCCCCCTACAATGGACCTAAATAAATCGCATTTTGAAAAGTTGCCATCTCTTTGGTTCTAAAACCAAATCACAGTTTAAAGATTTATGTAATCCTGTACATTAAAGATATTTAAAGTTGCCTAATTTAACTTATGAATATGATCCTTTTGTGTTCTTTTTTATGTTAAAACCTAGTTTTTCAGTCATTGCTTTATTTGAGACATGGAACACATAAAACCTGACCTTTGTGAAGCTTTTAGGCTTTAGAAAAGTTAATGTTGGTTCTTGTTTAAATATCAATGACTTCATTAACAGTTCTTCCAAGTCACCTGACCGAATACAGGAGGAAGATAAACTCAGGCATTAATGGGTGACTTCAAGAAGGATCTTCTCACACTTGGTAAAAGGCAAGCCTTCAGTAAGTGTTTAGGAAATTATTTAAATTGTACTTATAGATGTGTGATCGCCATTTTCCCTCAGAATCCCACTTAAATCACTTAAATTTCCTGCATAAGTATCAACACCTATCAGAGCTACTTAGTCTTTTTTTTTTTTTCGAATAGAACAGAATGTGAATTTCTCAAAATTCCAGTGTTTTTTTTTTTGTTTGTTTTTTGTTTTTTAAATAGAGAAGTTGAAGAGTTTGGTACAACATCCATTTGCCTAAACCATCAGGACAGAAAACGGGTGCATTGAGCAGAGAAGACAACCATTTACAAAGCGACGGCTAAAAAAGAAAAAGGAGACTGTAAAGATGTGAAGAATATGCACAGCTTAGATAAAACTAAGACAGGTGTTTTTGTCTTTCATACAAATAGTAGAAAAATCAACGCTTCACATTAAACTCAATATAGCATGCCCACTGATACATGGTGGCGGATGCATTATGCTGTGGGGAAGCAGAAAAGCTGTTCAAAGGTAATAGGAGGTTGGATGATTGGACCGGCTCTTTGCCTCCCAACACTGTGATGCAATATTTAAAACATCTATAGATGTGGCGGATTTTGCACAGTGCTGTGTCTGCTCAGCCCACAAAAATGAAGAAATTAACATCCATTTGCCGCGCAAATCTCTGACCCCATAGATGGAGAGCCAAACTGTCTACCTGCAACGGCAAATTATGCAGGAATCAAATGAAGGTTTTAAAGTCTAAACAGACAAGATAAACTCTGCAGGATTGTGCTCTATGCCTACTGGTACATCTCCAGAATATTATGAAAAACGTTTATGTTTTTGTAACTCATTTTAGAAAGTAAAACCTTTACATTAATTTCACATCATGAACTATTTCAAGTCTTTATTTTAAAAAAGTCAGAAATGAAGTCGGAGGAAATTATAATATGACAAAATACCAATAAAAAAGAATGTGTTCTGCTATGCTTAACTGAGCAGGTATCAACTCTACAGAAAAACTATGGAGCATTTTTACAAGGAAGGCCAAAAACACCAGACCCAACAATGCAGGTGACCTGAAGGCTGCTAGCAAATCTATGGCAAGCCAGGAAGGCCACTATTCACATTGAATTATCGCGTTAAGATTGAAATTAACCCACTAAAAAATGCGCATTTTCCTGAAATTTCGCCGCTTTTACCAACAAGCGCCGCCTTTTACGTGCGTCATTTATGACGCACATTTATGACATACGTACCATCATGACGCACGTAAAAGGCGGCGCTTGTTGGTAAAAGACGGCGAAAAAAGCGGCGAAATTTTGGCGGGTTGATTTCAATCTTAACGCGATAATTCAATGCGAATAGTGGCCTTCTTGGCTTGCCATACAAAGCAGCTTTAGCAAAGCCACAGGCTGATCGCCTCCACAACATGCTGCACTGATATCCAACAAAGTACTGAGTGCATGAACTGAATATACTTTTCAGGAGCCTGAAATTTGTTTAAAATCTCCTATTTTAATTGATCTTATGCAACATTCTAATTAATAGATAGAATTTGGCATATAATCTGTAATCCTTATTAATAACAGTTATAGGAACTAAGACTTAGTATATTTTATGGGGAGGGGGATAATAATTATATTGCACTCTCACAACACTGTTTTTTTTTACACATGTACCTGTAAATAAGATGGTAAAAAGGAAACATTTAATACCATTAGCTACTACATTGCGTGTGACCAACTGCAACAAAATGTGCTAATTTTATCTGATAAATACGTTATTGATACGGAGTTCATCTGCAGCGAATTTAATCATTTTGCCATTAAGCTTTATTGATGTGAAAATGTCTGTAAAGTTAAAGAAAAAAAGTGGAAAGGGAAAAGATTCATCTGTCTGGACTGTTACCAGGTTGTGATTAGTGAGGAAAAAGTTGCATTTAGGGAAAGAAACAGTTTGCTGTAACCAAAAAAAAAAAAAAAAAAAAATCCATGCACAGAGTAAGAAAGAAAAGAATGACGGCAATTAGAGTAATTTAATGATTCAATATAAATCCATCCCGCAGATACAAACTCTTGGTTGTAGAAAACTATGCTAGAAAACATCATTACAAGCCCTGGCAGACAATAAGATTAGGATGGATAGTTCATGCAACAGTATTGGTAAGGTGGAGAAACTGAGCAATAAATATTGGCTTCCCTTGTTGAGACTGTTTTCTGTTCCAGGGTATATGGAGATAATGAGAATGTAAAAAAAAAAACCAACAAAGTGAGAAATAAAAGCCTCTCTTCCAGAGGTAAAGTTGGGCTTTGCGTAATAAATATCCAAAAGAGAAGAACTTTTTACTGTTAGTCTGTGAAACTACCAGGACATGAATGGTAATTAGGAAACAGATGGCATGGAAGTGAGTGAGACATCCTTGGAGTGACAGAATAGTTAAGTCCAAGGAGACTATGAGAGAGAGTTTGTGTAAACCATGAGGTCTGGGAAATGCTTTCTAGATGTTTACTTGAACATCTTTAATATGCATCAATGGTCCGATTCATCCTTCACCTCTGACTATTGATTTTCATAATAAACATTCAAGCTTTTTGATGTTTTATTCTTTAGGGTTTTGACAACATAGCTAGAATAACAAATATGAGTTGTTTCAGTGGATATTTTTAATGCTTGAGATCAATTTCGATGTCTCATTTAAAATTAGGTTTACGTTTAGACTTGTTTAACAATCTTTAAATCCTTCTCTTTCTACCTCACGGTTATGCACTACTTCCTATTGATCTGTTACATTAACATTTATGTGATATTCTTTCAAATCTGTAGCTGTAGCGTAATAAATGTTACAAATTTGAGAGGATTTTAAACCTTTGCTCCGTGCTGCATGTGTTGAAAAGCTTACCATCGGATTCAGGCAGCCGTGATAAACAGTAGTACTCCTTGTGTGTGATGAGGTTCGGGAGGCCTCTGAACAGACTGCGACACAGTTTACACTCGAAGATGGTGTCTACCTCCCTCAGAAGCATAGTTCTGAGCTGACTGGTGCCTGCAAGTAAAGGTGAGCAGATGGATTAACTCTAACAGCATTGTTCTGTAACTCATTCCCTCACTTTGAGTACACAAGTATATCAACCATTGGCGTTTTTGATTCTCAAATAGTCTAGATATCTATAACTTTATTAATTATATTTTTCCAGGAAAGGAGCAGGATTTAAACTTATCTTTAACTGGCCATCACAGTGTCTTTAGAGACATGACTAATCAGTTCCAAGGACATTTAGGGCAGGTTAGATCCACCAAATAATCAGAAACTCAAACAAAAAAACACCTATGAGTCTGTAACATTGTTGACCTCTAACTCAAACATCTAAAATTAATTAAGGCTATGCTTTTAAGTATTTAGCCTCAAAATTAGGTCAAACAATACAGAGGTTTTAATATTGATTGTACAGTGCAATAATATTCTTATGCGAACACTTCTGCTTACATTTTTAGATTTCTTTTCCAAACCCAGTGGTCAGGTGGTAAATAATACTTTTTTTTGTATTTATATGAAGCAAAAGAAATCAAACCGTCCTACTTCTAACTAATTTCTATTTCAGGTTCTCTTTGTTTTAAAGTGTTTAATTTGCATAAAAAATAGCTCTTTTCACATTTTTCTATCACAAGCATCGGCTGGCTGATTGAAGAGGTGACTTTAATCAAATCAGACTAAACTTGAGTACTCAGCAAAGTTAAATGTCACATTTCACAGTAGAAAGTGCAGTCGAGTCTGAAAAAAATGTCCCTCAGGGTGTTTAACTGTAAATCTAGATACAGATGGCGTACATAGAAATATACATAGTTTAGCTAAATTGCAAAGTAAAACACTTTATTTTAACCAATAACAGTTTTTCATTTGTTTAGATTATGCTGAGTAGCAGAATGTTTGCCTGCTTTGACTGCAAAGGATAAACAGACTGGACCTATATTACCATCCTGCCTAACAGGAGACTTGTTATCATGCGAACTACTAAATGGGGTCAAGAAAATTAACAGCAACAGTGTGACATATTGCCCCGTTTTAGACACACTTACCTACAGTTACTATGGATATTAATAGAACATTTGACCTTAACACTTAATGCAAATCAAACAATTAGATTTTCTCTACCTGTTTGCTCAGGGTTTCCTCTTAAGTTGGCTATATGGTCTTGATTTGCCTTCTCCACTTAATATTCAGTGATTTGGCCATAAATATGAGCCCATTTTTATGCCACCAGTGAATGGTCACGTGTGCGTATCTCCTCCTGCTTTTCTATTATTGATCACAAATGTTTAGGCTACATTTCTTGGCTACATAGTTTGTGGAAGATTATTTAAAGCCAGGAAATTGGTAAAAAAAAAAAAAAAAGTACTATGAGATTGGCAGCTGTTTGGAATTAAAAGATTTTTAGCAGAAACCACAGGTTCTAGTGAGGATGCTGTTACTTTCAGTTAGCTATTTTTAGTACTGTGAGTGTGTTTTAAAAAGAAGTCTGAGGATGCTGAGTTGTGAGACGCTATTTAAAAGTATGTTCCATTAAATGTTGTTACTTGTCTAAGCTTTATTCAGGCTGCAAGAGGACTTTCAGGAGGTAACAGGAAGGCTAAGCAAGCAACAGCAAAGCGTCTTGATTAAGAAATAATTTAAACTTTGTTAACAGGACAACTAGTTGTCTGCTTTGTAAGATGGTTTGGGGAGAAACAGCTGTCACTGAACATGAAAAAGGAGAAAGGGAAGGTGGTTAACTTCAGGAGAAACGACTCTGGACTGTCCCATGATTGCTGATACTGTCTACAGGAACTATCTTTACTTCCTTTAGAGGCTTGGGTCCTTCAATCTCTGCAACACAATGCTACAGGTCTGTTGTCAGTCTGTTGTGGTGAGTACTGTCTTCTTTGCCTTGGAAGCATGTGGGGCAGGCATCAAAACAAAGACAGAGCCTATTGGTTCTAAGCTTGCCACCTTGGAGGAGGTGATGGAGGACAGGATGCTGGTCAAGGACAACCCCTTCTACAAAACACTGGACAAACTGAAGAGCAGCTTCAGCAACCGATTCATTCAACCCTGCTGCTTTTACAAATTATACAGGAAATCAATCCCCCTCGACTGCAAGCAGACTTTACAATTTTACAAGCTCTGTCAGAGCCACCATAAGAGAAAACTAAAAAGAACAGTGGCACTAAATCTTTACCAAACACCTTCTACATTGTGCATTAATTATTTTTTATGTTTATTGTTATTGCTATTATGATTACTTTTGCATTTATCATTTATGGCTGTTATCATTTATTGCTGTTGTTTACTATACAATTATAAAATTCATATACATATGGTTATTAACAATAAGATAACTATGATTGTATCTGTATCATCATCTCCACCTCAATGACTGCCCCTTTTGTACCCACTTATCTTGTGTTTGAGTGTATTTCATCTTTTCTTACTACGTTATTTTATTTTGAAATTTTATTTGTATTGTTTTCTGGTATTGAATTACAAAAAACAACTACAAAAAATGAGTATAAGTAAAAAATATTTATTTTCCTACTAAAAAGTATTTTTAAATTTGAAATTAATTAACTGCGATGTGGACCTAATTTCCCTCCTGCTAGCCAACAAGCTATCTTGAAGAATGTTGTTTAAACCAGTGGCATGTTAATTGTTAATAAAAGAAATTCAAGTGAATTTTAGAAAACATGTTTATTCTTTTCATCTTTGGTTAAAATATATAAGTGAAATCCTTCTCTACTGTCACTCCTCTAACAAGCATCAGTTAGTTAAGTTAGAAACGATAAGCATATCTTAAGTAAATGTTCTGAAATAAACTAAATCTGAATCTCCTTAAGTGCTGTAAGTAATGCAGGTTAAAAGACCAGCATTACAAAAGTCAGAAAAAAACAAACAAAGCCAAAAATTATGCAGAATAAAAAATAATAAGTAATTGCCATTTAATACAATTATAAGAAAAAGTATTTAAAAAGTAGTAATCCAAAACCTCAGCTACATCCAATCCATAGAACAGCAAAAATAAGGAGAGAAAATTGATGGAAATAATAATAAAAGCTAGAGGAAGAAGTTAATAAAAGGAGTAGGAAGCAACAAGAAAACACAGATGCATACCAGATCGGAAACATTCAATTATCTGCTGAATCCCCGACTTGGAGGTCTGCAGAGGCTGCTGGAGCAGCGGAGGATCACCAGGCTCCACACAGAAACCTAGACAGAGAGAAAGAGAGACTCAGTATTATATCAAAGCCAGACCCTAATTGTATAAGAGCACGACCATCTTTGAAAACTATAGCATCACATGAGAACATCGTATAGCTGCTATGAAACAAGACAAATTGTAGTGTTAAAAGAGCAAACACAGAATGAGATCTGAACAGGACAGTTATTCATTCTGACCTCATTACCTTCTATCACACCAACATGTTTTTCTCAAACACAGACAGACATAAAGGCAAAGCAAGGCATCTTTCTTCTTTTTAAGCTCTGTAGCCCAATAGAGGACAAATGGCGTGCATGAAAAAACCCAGGAAATTCACAAAGGTTACAGACTCTTAGGCATAATGAAAATTTATTGAGAAAAATTTATATATAAAACATTTTCTGTCCCTTTTAATTTTAGATAAACTAGAGAAGTTAGTGGATTATAATCACAACAGAGTAAATGGGCAAGTAGGAACAAACAATCCTGATGAAAAGTGACCATTTGCAATTTAAAATTTAAATCTCCAAAACTAACACTCAAAAAAATGTATAATTGTGATTTTACTTTAACTTAATAATCTAAGTTTCAGCATTTTTGCTTTTTAAACATTTTATACAAAACCAATTTCTACCTGCTCAAAAAAAAAAAAAAGGAATATACTGGAAGCTTTTTTAGAAACTCATTTTCACAGCAATAGTTTCCTTGAGCATCCCATGTGTTTTCAGCCAACATAAGTTTAAGATAGAGGCAGCCTAAGGCATTGCAGCGTCTTAAATCATAAGAGCAATGAGCCGAGTCTTTTAGGTTAATCGATCTCAATAACATGGGTCATGATGTCACCTACGTCTCTAACATGAATAAAAACATTGGAAATGACTGAAATCAATTGTGACCAGTGCACAAAGTAATCTTAAAGGTTTTTACATTCTCCATCTAAAAAAGGAGACATGCAGACACTGCTAATCAGTTTTTAGGTTAATATTTTTTGCCTGATACACCCATGAAGATTTATACAACAGCAGAAAGCTGGGATGAGGCCGGTGCTTCTGAAGTACGTATGACACAGTCAAAAAGGTTAAAAGTGTGTCCGCCTCTATCAGTCGGCCCTCATGACCACTCATCTCATCTCATTCATGATGACAGTGAGTCAAACCGGCATCACTCGATCCATTTCACATGTGCGTCAGCTATGAGGTGAGACACAGGGATAGAAAACTGTGGATACTGAAGCAAGAAACATGATAGAACCGTGGGGGACGACTGAAAAAGGTAATGGGGATTAAAAAAACTAATGCCTGGAAAGGGCTATTGTCTTTATTACCATCCCCCATGCCTCTGCTTCCATGTTGCTATAGTCCCAGCAGCACAGGTCACTGAACCTCTACAACCCCTGACCTCCAGAACTGAATGTGGAGGAAAGCCAAAGATCAACAGCAGTCCTGATTACTGTAAGGGCTAAAAGAGCACACTTAGAAACCAACAAAGCATTAGAACGGACCTTGTTAGATGGTTAAATTCATCTCCAGGTATCATAATTGGAATTTAGACTGCAAAAAAATTTATGAAAAAAATAACTTCGCAAAGGAAGCGTATTTAAATGTTTGGATAACCTGGGCCTACTTGTAATGCACATCATGGTGCTGGAAGCCAAAAACAGCCTCAGTCAATTTCTCAGTGAGAACAAATCATTCAGCTTTATTTTGAGCAGCTATAGTCGGTGCTCTCGCAGTGAAGCAACACGGGGGGGGGTTGACAGACAGCCTTAGCCTGAAGGTGAATTAATCAAAGCGGTAAGAGGTGCAGGATAAAAAGAAAACACCTGTGTTCTGACCATGGCCGTTGGCATCGGTGGGCTGATCATTCTCCTCCGTCTGACAGCTCTGGTCCCTGGTCCCTGTAGGGGTGTTCCTGTGTGGTTCAAGCAGCAGAGGGGGAATGGGCTTCCACAATGGCTTGGCTTGGGCAGCGCTATCGCTCCTTTCCTGGGCCTCCGCTGGACTTTCCTTGTGGTCCCAATTTTCGGACAAGTTTCCCTCTGGAGAAGTATTTTGAATAAGGGTTTGACCTTCTTCCTTGGACCGCTCCTGTGGGGGATCCTGAGTGTCCAAGTTAAGTTCTTCCATATCTGTTTGACCACCACCCTAGAAACCAAGCACAGAAATGAAAAAAAAATAAATAACTACATGTAAACATATATATATATATATATATATATATATACACACTGAAAAAAGAACTAAAATTCCACCAAAAATCAACATAATCAAAGTTATCATTCAAACAATGTGAAGAATTGCTTAATATCAAAGCAATTGTATAAGTATGTCTATCAGCTTCTCACATCTAGGAAGGACTTTTATTTTTTTCGACAGTAGGCTGACAAGAAAGGGGGTATGAGAGAGGGGGAAAGACATGCAGCAAAGGACCTCAATTCTGATTTGAACCCTGGTCGGCCACGTCGAGGACTAAGGCCCCGCATATTGGTCGTGTTTTAAAATAAAACAAAGTTAAACATAGAGAATCTGTTCATTACTGCACCCCATAATATTAAGTTGCCACAGTCATGTTCAATAGTGGGGGATGGAGTTTTTAGACAAAGGAAGGGGAGATGAACACTTCAAAAGGTCAAAATAACAGGACTTTCGGTTTAACTACTTCAGACAGAATTAATAATAAATAGATACTTCTGTGACAGAATAAAACAAAAAAAATAAAATTAAATAAAATGTGGCCAAAAATGTGGTATCTACTTTACAGAGAGTTTTAACCTTAATAAGGCGGCATAAAGAAAGAGCAAAAATGTTTACTTCAATTGTCCCCCCATTCAGGTTTCCTAAACATTTCTATAAAAAAAAAAAAAAAACATTCAATTTACCATAAATCATTTTTTGAAAACGTGAAAGTCCTTGAAAATACTGTCCTCTCTGTGTAATTAGATCAGTTAACTCTGAATAAAAAAGTCAGAATTTAAATATCTTAAAAAGGGTTAGTACTGTGATTTTTAATACATTAATCATGCTTGTAAAGATAAAAAACTGTTACAATTTAAACCATAATTGATCTGTGTACTAGTAGCATGTAAATCATATAAAGAATAAAAATAAATCTGTACGTTTTTCTTTTCATTACTGGCACATTTCCTTATTTCTTAAGAGTCAAACATAAAGGATGCAAAAAGATCTTTTTTTTTTTATCTGCAATAATTGAGTATACTTTAAACATTTTCAGATATTTTTTTTTTTTTTTTATACGTCTAACAAATGCTAGATGGAACTTTTGTACCTTTCCAGTCTTTAGGACTTTTTCCTGATAAATAAATGCCCGTTATTGGTGACATTTTCACTCAGAACATTTAAGTGGCCTTCAAGTTCTCTGAAGATCTGGACTATTTGTGGACCGTTATCTATGGCAATCACGTCCACTCTTCAGCAGATAAGTGACTCCAGTCCAGCTTCTCGGTTCTTCCATGTGTGCTGCTGTGTTTGTTAACCAGACCTTCCTTCTCCTCCAGTCCATAATCTTTTTTTCTTTCCCACAAACCAATTTATTCTCATTTTTGTCCGTCTAGCCAACTGTGTGTGTTTCTGCTGCCCTTGGAGATGGATAAATGAGTTCACATTAAGTGCATTACAGTGCATCACCACAAGACACAAGACCCTTGGGCTCCTGGATCACCCTATAGGTGAAAACAAACACATGCATGACACAGCATGAGACACATAAAGCCAGCCATGAAAACCACACAAAAATACAACAAACCCCCCCCCCCCCCCCCCCCCCCCCCCCCAAAAAACATTTAGTATAAAATTATTACAGAAGAACTAGCTGTGAATTTCTGCATAATTCTTACTAAAATAATACTGAGCAAATAATGAATCATCAACCTCGAGGGTGTGACTTATGCTTTTAAACATGACTAATTTCCCTATGATTTCAGATATGAAGTTCTGATTAACAGCTCAGGTGGGAGTCTGTTCACAGGGCAGCCATTAGTCCATAAATCTGGTCTGTTAAAAGAAAGCAGCGATAAGTTCAATTTGAAGTTTGTTAAAAATTTTCTAATTAGAAGGAACCAAAACTGAATGCTTTACAGACGATGTAGAAAGCTGTCCTACACATCAGGTAGGACTTTATATTAAAGAGCAGTCATTCATAACAATGACCTAGTCAAAGTACAGACATGAATCAAATTGAGAATCTAAGGGAATACTTTAAAACCATCTACAGACTCTAGTTCCCTCTGTCTAAAGAGGAGAGATGTATCAGCCAAGGTATTGGGGGGACTCACTACTGGTGAAAGCCACATTTATCAGGTCTGGCTTGTAAATTGTTCAATAACTCTGAATATGAGCTACCAGATGGATGCATTAGTGAAAGAAGAAAGATTTCTGTTTAAACTTTGTATGCAAACAGAGTGAAGTGGTGGTGTAGAGATTTGTGAAATCCTAATATGAGACTGGGCCCCTTTAATATTGTCAGACACTGAAGAATGAACTAAAATGCACTTGCTAACGTTTGGTCATTAAGTAAGATCACAAATCTTTGTCAACATCCCTAAAATATTTACCAAGCTAAAGAGGTGGAATAAAACCTTTGCTCCATCAATCATCCTGATGCCAATCTGATTTAAGTACTCCGCTCAAGGCAGAGAGACATTATGCCTAAAAGATATCAAGGACTATAGAGAACTTTTATAAAAACATTACATGGCGTTCTACTTACATTTAAAACTGATCGATTGCTTTGGTTACTTCGACTATGACAGTTTTATTTTCCCTATGTTATTGTATGTGTTTCTTAAAACCAATAAAAAAAATCAGGACCAGAATTGTAACCGTTATCACTCAGAGCTGACCAGTTTCATGACTGGATAAACATTTCTCCTTCCTCTGAGACGAGGCGGTCAGACAGAGCAGTAACATAAGAGTGTTTATCTTCCAGTACCTGTCTGCGGAGGCAGTGAGACGTCTTCCTTCCAGATGATTTCGGGGCCTTCGCCATCTTCCCAAGACTGGCCTGGTGTGGGACCCGTCCACTAGCAGCTTACGTCTGAAACTGCAACAACAGTTTACATCAGACCAGTGAAACAGTGAATCAGACACCACTTCAACAGAAGATGTCAAAGCATAGCTTTGTTTTTAGGCTTGTTTTATTCTTTATATTCATAATGTGCAAACTATTAACAAATGCAAATCATACGTGTTAAAGACACTGTATATAACATAACATTAACTTTAGAAAAAAAACCTCCTCGGTTAACTCTGTAAATCATTTTCAACACAATAAATTTCACTGTATTGTTAACAAGACTCAGAAACTGGAACTTAGAGCAGGTTATATAATTATATATCTGGTGACTGTAGAAATTTTTAACACTTGGCCATGCAAATCAGTGACAAAAATCTACGTGAAATCCATTAGTTTTCTGATCAGTAAAAGCCTCATTCATGAGTGCCATTAGGTCATCCAAATACAAATCCTTTGTTGTGTTGAAGTACTCACTGCTTCAAAAAGACTAATTCATTTATCTGAAGTATCACTAAAGTGCTTTGAAAAGTGAATTTTTGAGGAATTAAAAAAGGCATGAAGAGTTTTTCATTGAAAGGAAACAATTTTCTATTGAGAGATATCAATAAGGCTTTCCTTGGATGTCAGTTAATAACGTGAATTATATCAAAGTTACTCAGTTTTATCAATTTTAGAGAGTTAAAATCTGTGGTAGAATCCCAATTCTAACTAGACTGATGCAACCAACCACTTAAGTTGGGAAAAAATGTTTCTTAACATTACAATAAATTATTTTAAATTGATCCAAATCTGAGGTTTTTCTTTCTAAAATATTGAGCTGGATAATACTCTTTAATATTTTAATGGATTTTGCAGATAAAGTTGAAATGTTATCTTATGGTGCACACTACATGCGAAGATGCTAAAAAAAACTTAAAGTAGTCAATCAGTAAAAAGTAAAGGCAAAATTGTGATTTTTATTAATATTTTCTTTGTAGAGGTCAGTAGAAAACTAGTGAAATGATGTTATCGTTTCTGCTGCATTTTTGCAACATATACATTTGTTTGTTTTTGCACTGCTCTTACTTCCACATCAATGTCTTTTGCACCATGTTTTTCTCCCACACCGTTTACATTGAATCAGTTTTGCACTTTATAAAATGGAAATGTTCTTTTTCACTGCTAAGCTCATTCTCTGTCTGAAAGCTGTATAAAACTAATTATGGTTTTGTATACAGTCTGTTGATACAAAGTGACAATAAAGTTCTCTTAGTTTAAAAGGTTACATTTTCAGTCACTTTGGAAAATAGAAAATGTATTTTGCTTTTAGTTCCTAAAATTAAATCATAACCAGCTAGAATAAGCAAAACGCAACCTTTCGGATCCATTGAATAGATGTAACCTACTTAAGGTTTTTCTTCTCTTAAAATCTACTTAAATTCTGTGAATAAAGAAGTAAATGAAACAGATATTCATTAGAGCTCATTTTTTATAAACAAATACATTTTTGTCAAAGCATGAGGAAAAAAAATATTAACCTAACATTTTGCTGTCCTCTAGTGGCCATTATTGATATAATCTGAACTCCTGTGTACCTGTATTGTACCAACTTGCTATTTATACCTGTAGTGGTTTAGAAATAACGCTGTTTTTCTAAAGCCTACTATTTATCAGTAGGAAAGCATTTTCCAAACAATGAAATAATTTCAACCTCAGCACTATTTGTTATTACAATTAGAGCATATCCTTTTCTGCAACTCTTTGCAGCTTAACAAGCATTTTAGTGAAAGTGACTCTAATAGCATTCAAATAAAAACAAACAAATGTATACTTTAGGAAAAAGCAGATTTATGATGTTTGGATGTAATTTTCTGTAACTTCCAGTCAGGCAGGAAAATAGAATGAACACAACTTCTTGTCACAGAACTACACGTCTAAAAGAAATTGATAAAAGAAAAATGCTGATTTTCTATTATTGATGCTAGAGTGTTAAAAATAAAGTAATATATAAATTAAGTGCTAGAAAATAGCTATTAAACTGAAAAGAAATACTGAGAAAATCAAAGAGAAATTGTTTTAGGTTTAAACATTTGCAGTCAATATCTAAAGTTAAGCTAGATAAAAAGCTTCTCTCTGTGAAATCAATGCCTGACATTCCCCCTCTTTATGACACCTGCAGTTTCCTGATAGTCCAGCAGAGGGCAACAAATGTACCCATTAAATGTTTTGGTATTTCCAAACTTTTTTCTGTCCTGAACAGTAAGAGCTTGTGATTACAGGACAGCAAGCAGTTTGAGACATTCACAGTATTAACTCTAACGAGACAACTGTAACAGAAAATACTGAAATTTATGAAAGGATCGACAAAAGAAAACAACAGTAACAAAACCTCTGTGTACATTTACAAGCACAGGGTCATACAGGAAAGTATGCAACAGGAAATTAAACCGAATAGTTCCCATAGTAACAGTTGTTTAAACTATCATATAGTTACACTACTATGGGACAATAATTCAAGAGCTTTTTTTTGTTTAAAGGGAGTTAAATCTACTAATAATGCAAAGCAGGTCACTTTAGTTTCACAACTTGTATCTGAAGTGGATTTTTTTATCTAAATATTATCTTTGACAAAAATCAAGATAAAGACATTTATTTTCATTCATGGTCTAGACTGCAGGAAACTTGTGAATCCTTATGTTTGGTGCTGATGATACAGCAAATCACTGCAAGGCAATAAACAGCAGAGGACACTTGAAATGATGGAGCTCTGACTTAACAGCAACTAAGAAAGAAACAAGGAAATGTCACTCTGTCAGAGGTAAAAGAAAAAAAATGTTAGAGACTGCTTGCTGATATTATATATATCAAGCATTCTATATGCATAAATCTACAGTATGCGGTGGTGCATGTAAAGAACAAATTCTATCAAAAAAAAGAAAAACAAAGATGCAACAGGTGAAGTATGCGATCACCTCAACTGTGCTAGAAAAAGAACCTAGTTGAAGTTATTGAAACATTTCCAAAAGCAATTATAAAACATTTTCAAAGTGCCACATGAAAGTTGAATTCTTTTTATATTTAAAGTTTGATTTAATTTTTTTTAACATGTATACATATTTAGGGTGATAAGAGTGGGTCAGTTTTTCATAGAATTTTCTTTTGTCCAAAAGCGCTTCAAACACCATGTTCTCTTCCATTAAAAAAAAAATAAATGAACACAAGAATACGCATTGTTTTTATCAAATTACAACTAATATTGCCAACTTTCATTCAACTTATTCTGTCTTAGGTCATAATTCTTATTACTGTGGGCTAGAATGTGATTCAGAATCTAGTTGTAACTGTGGAGTGAAAAGCCAGAGAAGACGAAGCACTAATTACAGACTGAATAGTGTAGATCGGTAAGCCAGATCAACACTTAACTTGGAGTTAAATTAGAGCGAGGATAATTGCAAGTGTCACCCTCAAGAGGAACATTTGTGAAGAACTGACATCAATATATCAAACTGCAGATGTGCAGATATTATGTTAACAAAGCAACACAGCAAAGTAGCTATTATAAGAAATAAAGTTCACTGTGAGGACATCTTACTAACCGCCTCAACTTATTCTTTAGCACTGAGCCTGATGTTCTTGTTTAAATCCCATGGCTATGTTTTGTTACTAAAAACCTTTGGGATCTCATTGCTGTAAAGCAGCTCCCTGCTCTCTGAAACAGTAAATTAACTAAATCATAGACATTTTTTTACTTGTACTGACCTCTCAAAGGACAATACACTATAGCCACATTCATCAAATCACACCCACATATTCACAGACAATCATAAATCCAAACAAAGATAAGTAGGCAAATAGGCAGATCAACATTTTGACCTGGGGCAAAACAACTACCGGCAGCAGGAATCCAACCCTCAACCTTCAGATTGCAAGACAACTGTGTTACCCAGTTCCTGCAGTCACAAAGCTCATCTCTTTGAAAGAAGCAATCTACTAATCATCATTTCCACTTTCCTGTACCAGCTCTTTACTTTTCAAACTTCTTATTTTTGCAATATAATTTTTCCTTCATCAGATTCCCAAATTTTTATCTTGTGTAACACATTGATTAGTTTAAAGAAGTTAGTGGCAGCCAGCTAGTAACAAGTCCCCTACACGTTCCCTTGTTTTCAAGACAAATTTGATTCTTAAAAATGATCAAGTCATAAAAAAAAAATCATCCCCTTAATAAGGAAACTACATTTCTCCAGATTGGTGGTTTTTTAATAAGTCTGAACATGTTGACGACTGACTAAAGGTCCTAGCTTTCACCTAATGCATGCTGGAATACACTCCTTCCCTTTCATCCAGTTGCTTTTGGAAATGCATTTAGATGAGTGTTTTCAGCCTAATGAAAATCCCAGTGCATTAGGGAACATCTTGGTTAAACTGAGTTTTGAGCCACACTAAATGTGTAGTACTACCTGCATTCATAACATCAGTAAACAGTATTAGATTTATCTTGGGATCCTGAGTCTGATTTAGATGTACAGCAGCATCCAGAAGGTTGCAAATGCCAAGCAAAGACCACTAGGAGCTAATTACTTTGCTGAGAGGTATTTCATTAAAAAGTCTGACAAGCTGTTGGAAACTACCCCTCTACCCCCCCAACCCAGAGTCAACCATCTCAACACGAACAACACGGCAAGAGATGACTTATTTAAGGGCATTGATGAACCAGAAAGATTTAAAACAGATTTAGCCGCACATTCACCAATAATACACTAACACACATAACGCAAGGGACTCTACTATTTCCATGGCAACAAGACAGCCATAGTTATAAGTAGTGAGTCCTGTATGACTCAGGAAATAAAAGGATAGGTGTCCTGGGCTAAAACTAATAAGGAGTTTTTTGCTCAAAGAAACTAAAAATGTTATAATAATGGCATATTCCTCCCAAAGGAACAAAGGAAGGTCAAGTAATTTAAGTGGAATTAGATATAATAGACCTTTACAAATAACTACTGACTAAAAAAGTTCTACTAGTACAAATACTAACATAA